ATCGTGTTTTCTTTTTTTTTCCTATATCATCTTCCGTCTTTTAGTCCACTCTTGATGAATACTTCGGTTCTCTAAGTCACACTGAGTGGGAGACTGCGAAGGCTGTCTGTGATACCGTTTATCATATTTGCGAAAGGTATGCTCCGCTACTTGATCTCATGCATTATTCAAAATCTGTCTTAGATTTGAAAACGGTCTGCTGTCCAATACGGGTTATGTGCTCAATTCGCTTCTAGCAGAGTATAAACAATGTGAGAGGTTTTTTGAGGGTCGTGTGTACGATGACGCTGTAGCTTTGCTCAACGAGGAGGTTTGTACCTATGAGTTCTCCTTTGTACCTCTGTTCTTTACCCTTAATTACAGTTTGGATCTGATAAAGATCGTGTTGTATCCATGATCTACTCGCATACTCAACTCAAAGGAAAAAATAAGTTTATGTTAGCCTTACTGGCGGGAATTGAGAAGCGCGGCATGCACTTGGTAGCACATCTTTATCTTTTGTGTTTGGCATGGGTAAAATCTTTGTTCAGGTGACTCCCCTAGCAGATAATTTGCGAGACATTGGCAACATGTTCCATACAGATGAGGTTTGCAATCAAGCAAGGCAACTTCTCCTCCAAAACAGCCGAATAAAGTATAGAAAGTTCTTGAATAAGGTAAATATTTGAATAATCGTGAGGACTAGCCTATCATCTTTTTTTTTTTGCTTCAGATTGTTTGGGACATCGAAAAGGTTGGGATCGCCGAGAGGGACACCAAGGAAGTTCTCCCAGTGGATGATGCCGTTGCAAAGCTTAAAGAACTTTTTGGACAAATGCTGGATCGTGGATTGACTCCTAAAGAAATGCTTAATTCAAGTCCTTGGGCTCACAAGGCTATTCACGAGTTCTTTTTTGATGAGAAGCTTGCGGATTTCGCCATTCGTGCTTATATTGGGTTACACTTTGCTGTTGACGATGTCACCTGTACAGCTTTACATTGTGCAAATCAAGATGCTAAAGTTTATGATTTCTTCGTTGACAATTCCAATCTTGTGTAAGTTCTTATCTTGGATTCTCTTTGTCTTATGGTAATCATGCGTTTTCAGACATTACATGATCTCTCCTAGTGTAGAAAGTAACCAGTACCTCTCCATTGTCAAACTTAGTGTAAACCGCGACAATTTCATCCAAGCAATAACACATGACAATTTGGTAAGTGCGCCTCTTTCTTCTTTTCATTTCCCTTTCTATTCTTGCTCTAATCTTCAAATGATCGCAAGTTAGTGCATTTTCGTAGTTGATTCAGTATATAAATCTGCTACACACAACCATTTAGATCAACTCTCTCGTGAGTAAATTCTCCGAATGTGGAATCAAATCTAACGGAATACGATCGCAGCTTCGCGTCACCTTGTTAGTCAACGTCATTCAGCCAGCAGCTCCCTACAAATCCAAAGAAGGCCATCGTGAAGCACAACTAGAGGTAAGAAATTCGTGCTTGGTAAGTGTGAAACGAGCGTTATCTAATACTGTTTATAGGAGCTGCCCATGTTCACGGAAAGCGACGATGAGATTGTTGCTGAGGCCGAAAACGCATCTGATGTTATTCGCAACGCCTTAGCAGAGAAGCTCACTGCTGTTGATATCCTTACTCATGTTCTTGTTTGCAATTCCTGTAAACCTTTGACACAAGTAAGTTGATCATTGCTGGTGCAGATGAAATTGGATAAGGTAAGGCGTTTTCAGGTGGATCTGTTAGGTGCGGAACGTTTGGAACTTTGGCGTTTACCAAACGACGCTCAGCTGGTCTCTGATCGTCTTTCCAACTTGAATGTTTTCAAGTACGATGATCCAGACAAACGCTTTTCTAGAATCTTCGTACGTGAAATGCTCGAAATCCCTATACGTACTGTAGAAGACAGGTAACTTTCTTCATGATACTAAAAAGAACTAATATCTAATGCTGTCCAATGGCATTGCTCAGCATCTTTCTTGCTTTCCTCTTACATAATTTCCTATTTTTTCCCTTGCATTATCTTAATTTTTTGCTAGATTTTTGGCAAAGGTTTACCCTATCTAATGGAGTGAAACATGTAAGTTCTAGATGTGAAAACATATTTTGTCCTGTTTATTTTGGCTTCAAGCATGTATATGTTCCTCCTAATGCTCATATGTTTAGGTTTTCGGCTTTTCAGTTCTCATCTTAATTTATTTATTTTCAAACTTTGGGATCCCATTTAGAAGGGTTACCTCATGATAAAAGATGTTCTGACTCCTTAC